AAAAAGAAAAAGAAAAAAGAAAATCTGCAGTGACAAGAAGGTATCCTTGTTTATTATATACGAGATGAAGATATTTATTAAAAACATTTATTAAAGACATTTCAGCCTCCTGAATAGAAAACATCTGAAAAATGCTATCAAATGATGATGCAAATGAGCTAAAGATCTTTTAGGCAGCCTGCAAAAAATAGATCAAAATGGATTGGCAGCTATGACAATTTCTGAGCATGATGTCATGTAAACAAACAAAGCAGCAGGGTCAGATGAGCATGTCCTCAAACTATGTGCTGACCCCCTAGTGCTCTTCCATCATTCCTTTGCCGCAAAAAAGCAAGACCAGCTGGCCAGAATGACTATGATCCAGTGGCAATCACCTCTGTTGTGGATGAAGTGCTTTGAACAGTTGGTCAAGAATTACCTCTGTTCCACACTACCTAGCATACTGGACCCACTAAAATTTGCCTACTGTCCCAACCGATCAATAAAATATGTCATAGCACACCCTATCTCATCAGGACAAGAAATTTATGTGAAATTGCTATTCGTTGTACCCTACAAGCTCATCACAAAGCTCTAGAACCTGTGATTAAACACCTTACTGGGGATCCTTGACGTGACGTCCTGACAGGCAGATCCCAGGTGGGGAAGGTATGCAGACACACCTTCCACCTTCATCCTTAACCCCGGAGCACCACAGGCTACGTTTTGAGCCTGTGGAGCCCCTGATGTCCTCCATGTGCACACATGACTGTATAGCAACTTTCAACTCCCAACACCATCATGAAGTTTTTTGATGATACAGCTGTGGGGCCTGATCATAGTAACAATGAAATGGCCTAACTGAAGGAAGTAGAGGACTTACTCTATTATTACTTTTGTAATAAGGCATTATATGAAGACTCACTTTTCAAGAAGATTGGGAAAGAATGTCTCTAAAAATGTTTCCAAACACATCCTCATTCATGAGGAGTGGCATCTCCACAGTACTAACTTTAGCCATTAGAGGTGCAATATGAATCACATAACTACGTAATACTCCACAGTCTGACAAGCAAGCAGAAAAAATATTTAGATCTGTTTTTTGTGTCACCAGTTTGCTATGATGATGATCTGACAGATGGCCTTTTCCGAACACTGTACCAACTCTGCAGTAACTTTACCCACACCTGCACTGTCTTCATCTCCATAGAGAAAAGGTAAGGAGAAAATGTTTGAATAAAACCCTGCAGTCCGTACATTGTTAAAGCAAGTGCCACATAACTGTCATTCTGACGATGTACATTTTACCAGAGGAGAACTTGAAATTCTATCTACATATCTTTAAGCATAATTTGGGAAGCCATGATTTTGCAGACACATCAGTACTCATGTTCTGTTTGGTAAGTGAATTTTTCCACAACTGCTTGTGGAATAATTTCTTTCAGTTGATGAAATACTTATTGTCATCATACATCAACAGCAAGAATTTTAAATTATATTTCATCTACAGTCTCTGATCAGAGAGAGGAAGTGTGCATTATTTTACGCATAAATGGCACAGCAACTCCATAATGTAAGGGTGTGGTTATACAAGAAAACACGTGGTTCAAATGATGTTTTATCCAATGTAGGAAATGATGTTTTCATCATTTTTCTGTGTGGCCAGACTCGAAGGCAGGATGAAAAGTTGTAGAGCAGAGAATGGAAGCATAACTAGCAGCATAACTAAGGGATGGTTCAGGACTCACCTGATCCAGCCCTAACTATAAGCTTTATCAAAGAGGAACATCTTAAGCCTACTCTTAAATGTGGAGAGGATGTCTGCCTTCCGACCCAAACTAGAAGCTTGTTCTACAGTAAAGGAGGTTGTTAGCTTAAGGTTCTGGCTCCAATCCTACTTTGGAGACTACAGGAACCAGAAGTAACAATGTATTCAGAGAACATAGTGTTCTAGTGGGGTAATAGGGTACTATGAGCTCTTTAAGTTATGATGGTGCCAGACAATGAAGAGCTGTATAGGTGAGGAGGAGGATTTAAAATTGCATTCTGAATTTTAAGAGCAGAGCAGAGAAGCTAATACAGGAGAAATATTAACTATTTTTCCTAGTTTCTGTCAGTACTCATGCTGCAGCAAATTTAGGATCAGTTATAGCATCTAAATGGACTTATTAAGGGCAACCGGATAATTGCAGTATTGCAGGAAATTGCAGTAATCCAGCTGAGAAGTTACAAATGCATGGACACATTTTTCTGCATTTTTTTGCGATTGGATGTGCCTGATTTTTGCATTGTTACATAGGTGAAAAAAGTTTGTTTTATGTGGAATTTAGAAGACATACCCTGATTAAAGATAACTTCAAGAATCCTTATGGTGGTGCTGAAGGCCAGGGTAAGGCAAATGAATGGAGAGATTCTTTATGTTGCCTAAAGGAAGCTTATTAATGGTAAATGGACTGTACTT